GCAATTGAGAACTCCTTTTGGCACCTTTAGTTGATTTGTTGGTCTACTTACCCTTTATGCAGTCCACACAAGTCCCAAAGTTAGAAAAATCAAGACTTTTAGAATTCCATCACTAACCAACCTTTTGACTCTATCAATAGAGATGTGTCTCAATCTCTTGTGCCAAGGACTTGATGAGTTCTCATTGATAATACATCGCTTAGTGCCAATTTCTTTATCATGCAAAGTTAATACATTGCATTCAAATGTGGGGTCTAGCTCAAGTTTATATAAATTTTCATTCAAATTTCCAAAACCAATAACTTTATTATCTTTCAAAAGTTTCACAAAAGGATAATGAAAATTCAAATCATATCCACTAATCGATAGTCTTGAAAGAGAAATTAAATTTCTAGAATATTCTGGAACATAAAAAGTATTTTCTAAATCTAAGTGAAAATCATCCTTCAAAATGAGCCTATAAGTCCTCACGCCTTCCACACGTGAACGCGTCATATTGCCAGAATAGACGTATTGTTCACTTCCATCGGCTTCCTCTGAGTTAGAAAGCCCTTCATGATTTTAGCAATATGAATTGTAGCACCAGAATCAATACAGCATGTATTATCAGAAACTTCAGTAAAATTAGATTCATAACATAAAAAGGTAAAATTACCTTTCTTCTCAAGCTATTTCTTGTATTTCAGGCAATCCTTCTTCCAGTGTCCCTTCTTCTTACAGAAACGATAAGCATTTTTGTCAAAGGTGCTTTTCTTCTTCATGAGAACACTTTTGCGCTTCTTTGCATATCTCTTACCATGAGTCACCATATTAACACTTTCAGGTGTCTCATGCTTCAACCTCTCTTCTTCTTGAACACACATGGTCAAAAGTTTATTGATTGACCATTTATCGTTATGTGTGTTGTAAGAAATCTTGAACGGACCATATTCCGCAGGAAGTGAGTTGAGAATAAAATGCACAAGAAATGGTTCAGGCATATCAACCTCAAGGGACTTGATTTTAGCAGCAATGTCTCTCATCTCCATAATGTGCTCACGCACTGTACGACTTCTGTCGAAAGTCATACTTGAGAGCCTCTTCATAAGAGTGCTGGCCAATGCCTTGTCAGAGCTTACAAATTGGTCATCAATTGCCTTTATGTAAGCTTTGACCTTATCGTTATTAGGGATAGAACCTCTAATGCTTTGGCTTATGTGAGCTTTTATGAGCATTAAACTTAAGCGATTAGATCGCTCCCGCCGCTCATAATTAGCCTTAGCAGCTGGCGTACTTGATTCCGTGGGAATATGTGGTTCATCCACACGGAGTGCCAGGTCTAGATCCGAGCACCTTAAAGTGAGAAGGACTTTCTCCTTCCATTCAATATAATTGTCACCAGAAAGCATTGGAATTCAAGCATTGTCATTAAAAATAGCGGTAGGAAAAACTGTAAATACTGCAAAACAAGGATAAACATACATAAGCTATGAAGTACAATCCATCAAGGGTGAATCGCGTAAAATACCGATTCTAAGTAAATTCTAGACCTTCCTATGGGCAGAGCCTGCAACCCATGCATAGAATTTACTTTAATTTATTAGACCAGTAAACCAAGATATACAAAAATTAATCCGTACCTGTGAGCATAAGATTATTTTTAACTTAAAGGTTTACTATCTCTTTCCAATTAATCTCACCAAAATGGTTACCTCCCTGTAGGGCCGAGTTACCATTTTAATGAGATAATTGGACTGAGTAGATTTTATTATAATTTTAATCACTAAACTTTATGTGATAAAATGACTTAGTTTCTTTTATATCAAGTACTCAAGATGCAGTGGATACTCCAAAGTACATGACATAAAAGAAAATTCAAAATTGACATCTCCCATTGATTTGTCTAAAATATCAACTAAACTAAACGCTGATTAGAATCATTATGGGTATACACGTTACATAAGCATAATGCTTATCAGAATCCTAATGCTAGAATATGATTCTTATGATTAATTTAAAATCTATAAGAATCAAGTAAAAATTGGCAGCAGAACTTTAAAAATATATTTCAGCAAAAACACGTATTGTTTCAATTTATAATTCGTTAAACTTTAACACTAATACACTATGGAGTGCACAATCTCGCGAAACACAAGCACATGACAAGCAGATGCAAATAAGAACTTATGGCAAGCAAAGACAGAACGTTTCCATAATTTAAAAGTCAAATTATTTCCATATAACCAAATATGCAAATATACAAGAATCAAAAACTCCTATGATAACTAAAAAGACAACAATAATTGTTTCCTCGTCTGATCACGTGGGTTTACCAAACCTCTTTCTTTCAAACAAATGCACCAAGATTATAACGTTGAAGGAAATATTCTTACGGCACATCTCTTGTTTTGCAATTTTAAAATAATGAAAGCTAATAGGGCAAATTAATTACTTGCCAATATCTCTTCTAAATCGATTCAAGCATTCAGACAGTAAAGCCCCATTATCAGTGTGAAACTGTTTACGCCACCAAATATTCTATTTAATTAGCATAAACCTTAAGACAACCAAAATTTCTGAAAAACAAAATTGTTTCAACGCTTAGAAATTAAAGCGAGATAAGGAAATCACACAGACACCAAGTATCCAGGAAATACAGAGATTAACGATAAGGTTGGCTCTGATACCACATGTTGAAATTCGAATATAAACACAGAGCCAACGCAGCGGAAATTAACCAAGAAACGTACCTTCAGCCATTGTTGTTCAAGCGTCGCAGGAATTGTCTTTGAAACCTTTAGCAGGAAACCTAGAGAGCCTTCTAGCATGTGCCTATCGTAGGATGCCAGACTGATGGAGTCACATGCGTATTTATAGTTAGGCTAGGGACTCTTAGGCAAATACTTTAGCCCTAGGGACTTCTCCATAAATTATAATTACCCTAGGGACTCCTAATATATGGTAATTTCTTTCAATCAAAGAAACTACCATATATGCATAACTACAGAATATTATCTGATATATTATTTCCTTTGAAGACAAGGTAAATAATTTATTAACTTATATGTGGGCCACACTAAAAATTTCTAGAAAGAGACAGTGAATTTCTTACATTGTCTTGATTTAGTCCTTTTTATTAACAATTAAACACAAAGAGTCCTTTTAGTTAGTAATTTAGGGTCATTGGTCCAATCTTACGGTGTTTCAACAGCCACAAGAGAAAAGTGACAAAATTTTCCTTTATGTTCACGAGTAAGGCTAAATGCATTCTTCCGATATTGCACTGATCACAAAATGTCCGCCAAACATATAACCATTTACGGGCACTTTTAGTCCATTGTCATGTAATTCCCAATAATCATAAGCATTTTTTATGCTTCTAACTTATACGAGAAGCAGAAGTGCGTTCAAGAAAAAAGTTCTTATACGAGAAGCAGAAGTGCGTTCAAGAAAAAAGTTCTTATACGAGAAGCAGAAGTGCGTTCAAGAAAAAAGTTTTCTCCATTAGTCTTCAAGTAATATTAGTTGTCCAACATTTAAACATTTCAAACGTTTACATTTGAATTGTATTGAAATTTTTGTGTACTACCTTAATCTAAAAAATCACGAAACTCACCATCTTCTTTATTAAAGAGTTTTATATATGCAAATTCAAGTATAATAAAGCCATAACTTATACTATTAATTAGCAAAAGAGACATTAATTAGATGACAAGGCGGGTCATTGCTCACTTAAACTTTATTATGCGAATAAAAATTACTCATCTCAGTCAAAAAATAGATATATATTATAGTCAATATTTTTATAACAATCTCGTTTGTTTCGATTATTTTTTATTGCTATTGTGAATTATTGTTATAGAGAACATATATTAAAACATAATATGAAAAATTGATTCCAAAAAAAATTGTTATAGTGAAGCGTTATTTCAGATGATGGCTATTCTATAAGGTAAAGTCATACTTAGTGTTACGTGTCTTGTAAAGTCAGAACCCTATTGTATAATGGTATCATTTTTTTTTCCCCACAAAAAGAGCAATAAAGAAGCAATAAGGAAGGAAGAATAACATTTAGATGAATCAAAAATAGAACTTGGCGACTTAACTTTATGTTTATTAAACTCAAAAATAGTTAATGTTGTATACGGTAAAATCATGTACCCTGATTTTGTGGGCTCAAGGGCTTGCGTCGAGAGACAGAGAGCTCGCATTGAGGGATAAACTCAGTATGGACCGGGTTCAAGTTCAAGGGCAGAACATAAGAATAAAAGATTGAATTGCACGATGAATACCAAGGTCGAGCATGACCAACCCCGAGATGGAGCCGTTATGAGTTTGTTACAGAAGGACAAGATTTCCGCCACGTCCCCAAGATCGTGGCGTAAATTCCGGAATTTATTCGTACGTCCTAGTACGACTATGGCGAGGTGCATGACGGCTTCGGTTTTGGGGATAGGAACGCAGGAGGAACTTCGCTATTGGATTTCGCAAGGGCATTTGAGCTGGTGATTGCTAACTCTAGTTTTCCAAAGAGGGAGGAGCATTTGGTTACTTTTCAAAGCATGGTAGCGAAGACTCAGATTGACTATCTGCTCGTTAGGAGGTGCGACAGAGGGTTGTGTAAGGATTGCAAGGTTATCCCGGGTGAGACCCTCACGACGCAACATAGGCTCTTGGTGATGGACGTCAGTATTATGATGAAGAGGAAGAAAAGGACTACACGATGTCGACCGAGGATCAGGTGGGGAGCCTTGACTAAGGATAAATCTCATGAGTTGGAAGGTAGGCTATCGGCTGTGGGATCCTGGAGGAGTAGTGGGTACGCTAGCATTATGTGGTCGACAACGGCGGATTATATACGGGAGGCAACGAGAGAGGTGTTGAGAGTTTCGAAGGGTTTCACTGGTAGGCACAAAGGCGACTGACGGTGGAATGAAGTGGTCCAAGGTAAAGTGGAAGTGAAGAAGGCGGCATACCTGAAGTTAGTAGGGAGCACATGTGAGGTTGAGAGGAGTGCGAACATGGAGAGGTATAAAGTAGCTAGTAAGGAGGCGAAACTGGCGGTCACGGAGGCTAAGACTGCGGCTTTTAGTCGTATGTACGAGGATCTAGGGGCCAGGGGGGAGAGAAAAAATTATTCTGGCTGGCTAAGGCGAGGGAGAGGAAGGGGTGGGATCTGGATCAAGTAAGGTGCATGAAAGATGAGAACGGTAGAGTATTGATGGGAGAGGCCAGATTAAGCGGAGATGGCAAACTTACTTTCATAAACTTCTGAATGAAGAAGCGGATCATGATATTGTGCTAGGCGAGTTGGGACATTCCGATATTCACCGCGATTCTAGGTACTGTAAGAGCATCAAGGTTGGGGAGGTCGTGGGGGCTATGCGAAAGATGAGCAGGGGCAGAGCTACCGGGCCTGACGAGATTCCGGTAGAATTTTGGAGGTGGGTGGGTGGAGCAGGTCTAGATTGGCTGACATGGTTGTTTAATGTAATTTTCAGGAAGAAGAGGATGCCGGACGAGTGGAGGTGGAGTACGGTGGTTCCGTTGTACAAGAACAAAGGTGACATCCAGAGTTGCAATAACTCTAGGGGTATCAAGCTATTGAGTCATACTATGAAAGTGTGAGAGGGGGTAATAGAAGCGGGGGTGAGGAGGACAATGTATGTATCAGACAACCAGTTCGGGTTCATGTCGGGTCATTCTACTATGGAAGCTATCCACTCATTAGGAGGTTGGTGGAACAGTACATGGATAAGAAGAAGGATATGCACATGGTGTTTAATGATCTAGAGAAAGCATATGACAAGGTTCCTAGAGAGGTTCTTTGGAGATGCCTAGAGGCTAAAGGTGTGTGGGTTGCTTACATTAGGGCGCTTAAGGACATGTATGATGGAGCTAAGACTCGGGTTAGGATAGTGGGAGGCGACTCCGAGCATTTTGCAGTTATTATGGGGTTACACCAAGGATCTGCGCTCAGCCCATTCCTGTTTGCTCTGGTGATGGATGCACTGACACACCATGTTCAAGGAGAGGTGCCATGGTGTATGTTATTCGTTGATGACATTGTTCTGATTGATGAGACGCGGAGTGGCGTTAACGAGAGGCTAGGGGTTTGGATACAGGCCCTTGAGTAAAAGGGTTTCAAGTTGAGCAGGACAAAGACGGAATATCTTGAGTGTAAGTTCAGTACCGAGCCGAGGGAAGCGGGCGGGGATGTGAGGCTTGGATCGCAGGTCATTTTCAAGAGAGGCAGTTTCAAGTACCTTAGGTCAGTTATCCATGGGGATGGGGAGATCGACGAGGATGTCACACACCGTATAGGGGTAGGGTGGATGAAATTGAGGTTAGCATCTGGAGTCTTATGTGACAAGAAAGTGCCTCCGCTACTTAAAGGTAAGTTTTATAGAGTGGTGGTTAGGCCGACCATGTTGTATGGGACTAAGTGTTGGCCAGTTAAGAACTCACATACCCAGAAGATGAAAATAGCAGAGATGGGGATGTTGAGGTAGATGAACGGGCACACTAGGATGGATAAGATTAGGAATGAAGATATTCGGGAGAAGGTGGATGTGACTCCTATTGATGACAAGATGCGGGAAGCGAGACTCAGATGGTTCGGGCATGTTCAGAGGAGGAGCTTGGATGCCCTGATAAGGAGGTATAAGCGGTTGGCATTGGTAGGTACGAGGAGAGGTAGAGGACGGCCTAAGAAGTATTGGGGAGAGGTGATCAAGCAGGATATGGCGAGATTTTAGATCTCCGAGGACATGACACTCGATAGGAAGCTGTGGAGGTCGAGCATTAAGGTTGTGGGTTAGGAGGTAGTTGAGCATATTTAGTCTTCTAGTGTGAGGCTAGGCTGATAGGATTTAGTCTTAGACTGTTAGTGGTCAGTGCTGTGTTTATACTACTTATTCGTTTTCATAGTGTCGAGCATTATTTACTGGTCATTATTTCTGCCTTTCATCTATTCACTGGTTCTTGTGTTGTTGGTATTATTTCCATGCTGGTACTGATATATTTTCTCTTTTTGTCTTTTTGTCTTTTCGTCTTTTTGAGCCAATGGTCTATCGAAAACAACCTCTTTATCCCATCGGGGTAGAGGTAAGGTGTGTGTACACATTACCCTCCCCAGGCCCCACTTGTGGGACTATCCTAGGTCATTGTTGTTGACCTAGTACGAATCCGTACTAGGCGGTTAGACAGTTGTCTTAATAAGATTCCTTATTGTAAATAGAAATGTACCTTATTT